AGTTGCAGAAGCGTATCCAGGCCATGAAGAAGAGCTACTACGAGTGCGGCAGGTTCTGGACCAAGCGAGAGATACCCTACAAGTGGAAGCGCGCGGTCCTCATATGCAGGGTAATCAACACGGGGCTTTCGTGCATCGAGTGCTACTTGCCCACGCCCAACGAGTACCAGATGCTCCAGAGCGCGATGGGCGCCCTCCTGAGACGGGCGATGGCAGGCCGAGCCAGCACCCACAGCGAGGACGGCTCGGTACGTAGTTTGACAACGCTGGAGGTCTTCCGCTACTGGCAGATCCTTCCTCCAGCGGAGGAGGCACTGGTCCGCAGACTTGGCTGGACGCAAAATAGATTGAGATTCCCGAACAATCACCGCCAACTCATCGTCGCCTTGTTCGGACGCCTCGAATTCGAGACCAACGATGACGGCGCGACAGACGAGCTGACGACGCACACGAACCCCTGGGCCCGACGAATCGAGGAGGATGTCACGAAGGCCTGCCAAGTCTCGGAGAGCTTCAGGAACATCTTCGGGGAAGAGCAGGTCAAGATAGGTTAGATGTTCACGCTAGTGATTAGAGAACAACTGCACCTATCAGACGCACGCGAGGTCAGAGCAGCTAATTTGACGGTAGCAGTTCCTCCTCCAGGCTATACTCCCGACGACGAACTCCGAGAGGACTTAGCCCTTCAGGACCTCCAGCCTTGGAAGTGCTCGCTCGGGGACGATTCTGGGGAATGCGGACTACTGTTCGCGAGCAAAAAAGCACTACACAATCATGTGATTCGGAATCATAACGTTCACAATTTAGCCGCTCTATTAACTACGAACAACGAGTGCATCAATTGCTACCAGTGCCTCACGAGCCGTGGAACAGCCTGGAAACACCTGGCCAGGAGTTTGATCACGGGCAGCTGTAACCCAGATAGGACACGAAACCAGAGCCAGCCGACTAAACCGAGCACGAAATGTCCTCTCTGCAGCCATCTCTTCTTAGACAAGGGCGCCTTCTTCACACACCTGTGCACGCATCTGCCCAGACCACTACTGCGACCTCATGCACAGGATGGCGCTCTTCGACCAGCGCCCAGCCTGGGCGCCAGCGGCGACGGCAGGAGGACCTCAGCGACCAGACCGCAGTCGACAACCACGACGAGCTGCCGCAGGCGGAGCACCAGTGGGAGGAGGAACGGCGGTGGCCAACCCGCACATAATGGACCTCACGGCGCGCCTCACCCTCACGCTAGCGCGCGAGCAGGCAGAGCTGGCGTCGGCCGTCATCCAGACGTGGGAGATCAGCGCGCAGAGCGGCATCGCGCAGGCGGGCTTACAGGCGGGCCAGACGTACAACGACGACGCGCAGGACTTACGACGCAGAGCTGCAGACGGAGAACAAGTGGATACGGCCTCGCTCGGCAGCCCCCACATCCGCGTGTGGACCGAAGTGGTGAACTACATGGGGCGCACGTACGACGCAGGAGCGGAGAGAGACTACCTCGAGAAGAACTACAAGGACGTCATCTTGAGTGGCAGCGCGGAGAAGGTAGCAGACGGCATCCCGATCTTCCGCGTTCGCAGGAACAAGGGCCAGGAGGGGGGCGCCACGGAGAAGTGCAGGTTCCAGTTCCAGGTGAAGGCAACGGACACGCAGCTGGAGACGATCCTCACGCGCGCCCTCCGCAAGGAGGGAGCGAGCCGCAAGATCGGGGCGGCGCCACGTGGAGCACTGGAGCGAGAACTGGGACGTCTCGTCAACAGCTGAGCCAGAACGATACGGAGAGAGGAGCGGCGCATAGTGAAGTGACTGAGCGGACGGTGCGGCTCTGTTCTGTCCCAGAGAGCGCGGCCCCTCAGGCCATCCCGCGAACTTTTCTCACCAGCGCACGATTCCACGAGCTGGTCAGGGAAGGCCGCCTCCCCCCTCCTCCGCCTCCGACTGGGACTCCCGACCTTCGCCAACTCCGAGGCCCGAGTTTTCCCAACTATTTTGTCGTGCACCGACCTCCCCCGCCCCCACCCGAACCGAAGCGAAAGGGAAGGGGAAAGGGGCGAGGCAGACGAGGCAGGGGTGTAGAGGAGACAACGAGAGGGCACTCGTAAAAGCGGGTGCTACCCTGCCCGCAGACCCCTGCGTGGGGGAAGGTCGGTGCAGGTAGGGCCCGAGCGTCTAAGTGGCGCCCGCGACCCCCTTTCAGCAAAGTGACCTCAGCTAGGCCACACAACTTTAGTAAGCAGCACAGCACGTAGCGAGAGTGCAGCACCGAACCGGCCCGAGAGCTCGATCGATCGATCCTCCTCCTCCTCCTCCTCCTCCTCCCCTCCCCCTCCCCTCCCTCCTCCTCCTCCTCCTCCTCCTCCTCCTACTCTTCCTGATCCTCCTCCTCCCTCTTCCTCCTCCTCCTCGTCGTCCTCCTCCTCCCCTCCTCCTCTCCTCCCTCCTCCTCCTCCTCTCCTCCTCCTCTCGTCCTCCTCACCCTCACCATCACCATCACCATCACCATCAC